ACTTTATTTTATTTATAATTAGGTCATATGGTTTAATTTTTACAATATATCTATATTTTGGACAATCAGTTAATTATATCCTCATAGTTTACAATTTAGTTGAAAATAACTTGTATATATTTATAGGGTGTACAATGACTGAGTTATATTTATTGTTTCTTGTTGTTGTTGTTGTTGATGATGATGAGGGATTATCGTCGAAACGTTTGTCATTTATAGGAAGTGCTATCATTAATTCGTACAACTACTAAATAGGTACATTTTTATAGGATTACTTAATTGTTGGAACTTAGTAAAAAAAAAAGTAGCAAGTCATACTCAACTAACTACATTTTATATGAAAGTTATTGGTACTACTTAACTGTCAGAAATATAGTCTGTAGATGATAATTCATAATTGTAATTAAAGTATTTAAAATCTGAGTGCTGTAACGATTAAGTTAATGATCTGTACAAGAGTAGAGTAGTAGTTACATACTTATTATTTTGTTTCATGATCACTTGTTGATTGTCATTTATTGCTTTTACATGGTTAATCGATCAAACAGAAAACATTCCCTTTTTAAACGTAAGTTATTTGTTGTATATGACTAATTCCCGTCAATTAGTCACTGACCATTTGACTGAGATTGTAGATTTACTTTTGCCTTTTACCATTCGTGAAGGAGCGTAAACCGCCCATCAGGATTCTCTATCGAACTATTTTCTTGGCGATCCTTTCTAGTTGCTATTCATCCTTTTCACGTCTGCTTCCAATTATCGGCAGTGTGTACTTTGGTCTTCTTTACTTTCTCACTTCAGGATTCCATGTTAGCACTTACTTCGTGATGCAGCTCGATGATTTCCTCAAAGTATATCCTATCCACCTCCAACGTCTTTTCTTAATTTTCTCCTCAGTTGGAACCTGGTATGTTCTCTCACACAATAGGCTATTGCTGATGGCATCCGACCAACGGACATTGAGTATTTTGCGAAGGCAGTTGTTTATAAATACTTGTATTTTTTGATGATGGTTGTAGCAGTTCTCGAAGTTTCAACTCCGTACAGTAAACTGTCTAGACGTTCGTATTGAAGATTCTGACTTTGATGTTGGCTGACAGTTGTTTTGAGTTGCATATGTTCTTCAACTGTTGGGATGCGTTCCCTTACTTTGCTTATCCTTGCCTTTACGTCTGTATTAGATTCTCCTTGTTTACCAGTGATGTTACCCAGGTACGTGAAAGTTTCGACCTCTTTCAGAGTTTCTCCATCAAATGCGTTGAGTTGGTGTTCTCCGTGTTGTATTTGACGATGTTGTTTTTTCCCTTGTGCATGTTGAGGCCTACTGCTACACTGGATTTCTTTACCTGGATTTGTTGCTGTGTATTGGATAGAAGAGTCAGGTCGTCTGCGAAGTTCAAATCATCTAGTTTCATGCAAGCTGTTTATTGTATTCTGTGCTTCCCCTGAAATGTGTTCTTCGTAATCCAGTCGACCACCAGGAGAAAGGGAAAAAGCAATAGTAAGCAGCATTGTCTGACACCGGTCTTTACTTCAAATGCATCTGTGAGTTGTCCCCCGCACTCGACTTTGCAGTGTAGTCCGTCTTATGAATTCTGTTTGTTGTTCACGATTTTCTCACGTTCACCATAGTGTCGATGAAGATTCCATATTCATCTCCTATTCACACTGTCAAGTGCTTTCTCATAATCAAAGATGTTGATGTATATTTACGAGTTCCATTCACTTGGTTGCTCTACAATGATCTGTATTGTTGCGATTTGGTCTGTGCACGACCGATCCATACGGAATCCAGCCTGTTGATCTCGAAGTTCGGTGTCAACTGAATCTTTCATCCAGTTCAGTAACACTGTTGAAAACCTTTCCTGGTACTGACAATAGTGTGATGTCTCTGAAGCTGAGTTCTCACACTTGCTTATATCTCCATTCTTTGTTATTTTGATGAGGTATCTTTTCTAGTCTGTCTGTACTTTTTGCTCTTCCCAAATCTTTCTAAATAGGGTTGTGGAGATTATTAAGTTTATGATTGAGATCATGAACCGATTGATGTTAGACCACCATTGAGAACATGGAAGCACTAGACGGCCGTTTCTTCCTATTGTGGGACTCCTCAGCAGTGCGCATCCGCGAGGCGAGATCGTGGATTTCCATGGTGATCTAACATCAATCGGTTCGTGATCTCAAACAAAAATTTATTGGTTACTCGATAATGCTTTCCATTTAGTGTTACACTTTCTTCCTATTATTGTTTTATCTTTTGTTATTTTTCTTTGTCAACATTTTGTTTTATGTTATTATGACTTGTGGTTGATTCCATGTAAGGAGATAGTTATAACTATTGTAATTCGTTTAAAATTCTGTTCCAAACTTGAAATGTTATTTGAAGAGTTGAATTTTTTATTCACATCTGATATTCATTGGTCATCGAAGTATTCCGTTGATTTTGTTGTTAAGTTGTTCACAAAAACGTACAATTGTTAAATAATTGTTTAACCAAACTAACTATATTTATTGGTTGTGTTTTGTGTATTTAGCAAGGGGCTTGACTATTGTCTGTATATTTATACATCTTGAATTCAGTTGAATCAATTATCCAATAACTAATACATTCTACATTGCTGCCCAACATTTACTTGATAAATTAACTATTTTTGGGTCAACTAATGGTTTGAGTTGTGACATGGTCAGCAAAAGGACGAGTATACCGTACAGCAGTTCTCTCTCTTTACTTTAAGAGTGTGAAACGTATCCTTGAAAAATACAGAATATATGTAGGTAACTAGTGTTCTGTTCATAGGCGCCTTCGAAGCATTACTTATTTTTTCTGGAACTTATTGAGTGGAGATTACTGAGGTTAGTTACCGGGTACTAAATAAATAAGGGTTGGTAAATGGTTTGATGAAATAGTTGGTCCTTGTGAACTGTGTTTGAAACATGTATTATGTATGTTCAACCACCGTTTACTTTGACGGTCAATGTTGACTGGTATAGAAGTAAGCTTAAAGAAAGCTAGAGGCGGCCAACCCAAAACATGGCTTCAGTTCATGAAGATAGTAACTGTTAGAATGAATCATGTAGGTAGGTACAAACTACTTGGTTAGAGTTTTTAATTTTACTGAACATTGATTGATAACTTTAGGACACTTAACTCAGAATCGATTTGAGTGACCCAGTTACTTTCACTTCTTATCTTCTTATGGATTCTAGGTATCTAGGTATCTCATTCTTCACAAATTGTGTTGTTTTATACTATCACTAACTACTGTTTCTACTGTAATTACTCATACTAAATCATCTCACTATTCTAATGTAATTCAGTAGATTGAACTAATCAACATGTTTCAGATTGTATATTGTATTTAACTAACTAACTAACTAGCCAGTTTATATTTCTTTCTTTCAAGAAGAAAACACAGTCATTTCTACATATTTTCATTTATCTCTTTTTAATAAAGTAAATATCTGTCTAATTATTATTATTATTATTATCATTGTCAAATTAGGTCAATAATGTATAGTTTTTACAAAAAGGAATTGTGTCTATCCTTAGCGTCTATGTCTTAATGATGTAAAACTCTAATAATGTTTCATAATATGTAATTATTATCATCCTTATTATTACTAAGTGTGTTTTGAATAACCTTTCACAATAGTCAGCTAATCTATAACAATAGTGATAATTTATAACATATGATATGATTTATATTATATACTTTTAATGATTTATGCATTTAACTTTGAACAGTCACTTTTTCTATTGTGAACTGGACTTTCAAATAGTATGTTGAAACCTTATTAACATCGATAATCGATTTGAATAATCCATTACATTAACTTCCACATAAACACTGTGACTTAAATCCTGAATACATTGACGTTTATTTGCCCAATAATTGAATTTTTTTTCTCTCTCAACTAATTTACATGTTATAGATCTTTATACTTGGTTTTGCGACACATTAATATGTGAATAAAGCTAGTGATACTGTAAACTTGCTCAAACTAAATTAGATGAAGTAGTCGACTCATGCTAAACACCCTAATTTCTGGGTTACTTCTCTTCATTGAATTGTATTGACTTGTGTAATTTATGTTTTTGAATTTTCTTCTATTTATATATGGTAATACTATGCATTATTATGTGACATTTGTCATTTAATGTTTACTTTATAAATAGGATATTCACTTAGTGAATGATCGAAACGTCTTTTAAAAGTATTTCGGAATTAACCTTGTCATTACAAGTTCTTGGTACAATAGCTGTTCAGTTAATAAATATGGTAAAATATTCATCATTACTAACGCTAATACTACTACTAATAGTAATAATAGTGATAATAATAATACCACTTTTGTCTCCATTTCGTCACAAAATCTTATTCAAGTTATAATTTTCTCGGTATGTGTCCGAAGGAAAACTTGTTCAATTAATTAATTAATTAATCGTTTTGAATCCACAATAGATTATACTTCATTGAATTATCCTAGTTACTGCAACATTACTGTGTCTTGTTCCACGTTTATCAAATTTATCAGTCGTTGGTATCCCACAGTCACTGTTTGTGGCATTACCGTTAGTCTTGTTCAACTTTATTCAGGAAGATTTTACGAGTATCAGCATCTCTTGGTGATTTTAGTCGGCAGACAAGTATGAAACACTTGGATTGATCATGTGCAAGCAGTCGTTACTTTAACAAGAGATAGTGTAGTAAAAACGTTATAGTATATGCAGAATGTACATGACAGTCTCCTAATTCCTTCTTGATTCGTGCTTTAGCACAGTGCCGATTGGCTAAAAATCGGATGACTCTGTATCTTCTATTCTGAACATTAAATATTCATCACTCTATCCTACTAACATGAATATTTTTCAATATATTTTAAGATTTGTATTCATGAGTTGTTTTAATTATACTGATTTGAACTGTAATTTATATTTAACTGAATGCCTAATATGGATGAAAGTGAACTCATTCGTACCTATGTTTCGCCTTTTTCAGGGCCGAAATCTCGCAGACTTACGACGTAGTACGCCCCGTGGAATATTCTCCACATCCACAATAATACGTTTAAGTTTACAAATTTTAAGCGCTATCGAGGCTATTCATGATGCTGGATTTTTACATCGTGATATTAAACCTTCAAATTTTGCTGTTGGTAGATTACCGACAAACTGTCGAACAATTTATATGCTAGATTTTGGCTTAGCTCGTCAATATACAACACCTAAGGGAGATGTTAGACCTGCACGTCCAGTTGCTGGTTTTCGTGGAACAGTACGTTATGCATCGCGTAATGCTCATATGAATCGTGAAATGGGTCGACATGATGATTTATGGTCGATGTTTTACGTGCTTGTTGAATTCGCATCAGGTCAATTACCATGGCGTAGAATTAAAGATAAAGAACAGGTGAGTGTATTTTGTGTGTTTCCGTTCATATTACAAGGTATGAAAACTGACAGCCTGTTAGCTTAATCAGTTAATCCAATTTGGAGCATCGTTGAACATGGTACATATATTAAAGTGACTACAGAATAGTGATATGAATTTATCGAGACATATCCTGAAGTAGTAGAATTAGTAACAATATTAATGGTAGTAGTATTAGTAGAGAAGGTTAGGAATTGACAATATGTTTCGAAAAGAAAGAAGGAATTCTTGGAATAAAAAAAGCACAGTTTAGTTTAGAAACTAAATATCTAAAGGCATGTGGTGAATGTATCTATGCCATTTGGACCGATTTCAAGCCATGTCACATAGACTCTCCAACTATTGACCATTGTAATCAAGCGGACTTCAATCAAATAGTCTTCACTTATAAACTCGGTTCAGTCCAAAAGTCATTAATTTCATGAACTGATGTCATATTTCAGTTTGTCAGCATCAATCTTTCCAACCTGCATCTATACCAGCAAAAATCGCACGTCGTGGTAAGTGGTGATTAAGTGTATATATATATATATATATATATATATATATATATATTTCAGAACAACTAATTTGACTTTGTCAGCCGGTTCTATAGCTTCACTTAGTATTCTGCATCTAACCTCATATGCAAGCGTTGTTTTCAAGACATCGATGACCGAATACTAGTAAAGTACAAATAAGTCGGATTTATTAAAGTCACTTTTCATCGATCAGCTAAACTAAATCAATTGATGTGAAGTTTCGAATCTTTATCATCAATTACTCCACCATTCATCTGATACTTTTTAAACAATTGTATATTTGATTGAATTTGGTATTCTAAGCATATAAGTCAACTTCATACGTTCTTATCGGGTTTTCAATTTATTAAGTGTTGTTATTGTATATTGGCCTAGCTAATCAATCAATCAATAGTATAGTTGAATTAATCTATTTGTTGAGTACAGATTTGCGTAGTTGACTTTGAGTTACATCCCAATTTTGAGGACTAGTAACACAATATTACCCGGTTTCCTAGACGGAAATCTGTTGAGCTGGGTTCAAACCTATAACTTTTTTGGTTGAAAGTTAAATGTCTCGATCAATAAGCCATCTTTGAGTCTTGAACTACATTATATATGTGAGGTTTTTTAATACCATTACTGAGCAGTCCAAATTGATATATGTCGAATGAGTTTTGAACTTGCAATTTATTGTCACCATGTTCATATTGTGTATCTATCCATAAGTAGTCGTAAGCTTAATATTCATTGATTGTTCACTGGGTGGTGATCAATATCATGCTTGTCTAGTCCTTATTACATCTCAGTCCTACAGGAGGTTAGTCACGGCTCGGATAGCTCAGTGGTAACGTCTCTGAAGCTGGGTGACACGAGATCGAATCCGCCAGGGAGCACCAGTTCCCTCAAGACTACAGGTACACCTTGCTGACGAGTGCCAAGTAGCACGAAACCCGGGTCCAGGGTTTCCTGTTGACTACCTCCATCCACCATCTAAAATTATTCGTTTAGATGTTGTATTGTTTCATGTTGCAGAAATGAAGTCACAATTCCTTTTAAACCAACGCACTTGAGGAACCTCTCATACATATGTGCAAATGCCACTACTACCCGGTTTTATAACAAATGCTTAAGAGAGAGTGAAAGAGTTTACATTAAACACAACTATTCACCAGTTTATGGAATAACTATTAACTGATACTTATTGTCATATAATCAAAAATAGGCTTTAAAAATCGTGTACTGCATCTTGGGAGACGAGAATTAGTATCGAAGATGACTTAAAAGCTTGATAACTTAACAAGACTCTTGCAAGCGTTTACGGTAATATTAATGACGATGATGATTAATGTTTTCTTATTTAAGGTTGGTCAAATTAAGAACAATTTTAATCATATGACGCTTACACGTTGCCTTCCAAGTGAATATCGTGCCTTCCTAGAGCACATTGAAGAATGTAGTTATTCGGATCGACCTGACTATACTATGCTTCATGGTCTCATAAAACAAGCCATGATTCGTCGTGATGTTCATGAGACTGATCTTTTTGATTGGGAACAACCTGTAACAGCAATAGATAATCAACAAACCAATCCAACAAATACATCTTCCATTCCACCCGGACCTGCAGTAAATGAACAACAAGATAATCACCATATGGATGTAGGTAATGCACAACCTACTGGTTTCACTGACAGACGAACTCATACAAATCAAAATTTAGTTTCAAATCATCCTCAGCGCTCTATCTGTCATTATAATCGTAACGTTGATGATGTTGTTGGTCAACATCAACGAGGACTTGATAATGTGGGTTTGAGTACTACTGGTATTAACAATGGAGGGAATCTCATGCATCATCTAGTCAGTAGTGTGAATGAATCTTTAAAGGATAATGTGCCGCAACTTTTGAATGGAAAAACTATATCACCAGATTTAATACCAGGTGGAGACATTTCAAAGCATAATAATAAAATTCACTCCCACCTTCCACCTTTACAAACAGCTGATGTAGTCGATGACTTTGGAAATCATGATCCTGGGAAACTAGTCACAGCTACTGTTAAAGAAAATTTAGATAGCCGTCATAAAGGTACAAATGATATTGATAATGGTACAAACACAACTCACAATGTATTAGGATATCATCCTGTTGTACATAATAACAACGATTTAAGACGTAGTAGACATTCAACTTCTACTAAAGGTCTATCTGTTGGTACTTCAAACCGTCGAGCTTCATTGAGACGTTCAAATGGTATGGCTGTACCGCATAATAGAAGCCTAACGGAACTTGGAAAATCAGTCGAAGTAGCTTATCACAATTCAGTATCTAGGTCCAACTGTGAACAATGCAAAAATGATAACTTTACTGAGCACAGACCCTCACGATTACCTGTTATCATGCCTGCTAGACAATGTCATCGTGACCAACAAAGTAGCGTTGTAGATGTTCATAATAATTCATCCATGAAGTCAACACGTCCTGCTTGTTCAAATACACGTTCACCCATTGTTGTGGCTGATAAATGTATTTTCATGTCTTCTCCTAGAGAAGAAGGATATAATGTCATTGATAATGGTGGTAACGATGTAAGCATTTTAACTGGGAATTTCGGATACACCGTTGACCAAAGTCAAGCTAGTATTGCTCAAATGACCAATGCTATAGCAATTAGTACTGTAGGTGGACGTTATGCATCGGGATCATTGTCTCGCTTAACCCGATTGAATAGTAATGCAGCAGGTTCAATGACCCAGCTAGCTGGTTTATGTTTATCGAGTCAAGATTTAGTTGATATCGATGGAGATATCAACATTGGCGGTGGCGTTGATGGTGGTTTAGGTGAAACTGTAAATGATAATCAGAATTTAATGTTAGACTCATCAAATATTGACTTACCAAATGAATCGATCGATAAGAAACCTGGTGAAACTGTGACTGATAAATGTCCTGTTATCGATGTTTCTGCTCAGCCTCAAAATAATGTTTCAGATATTGGAACATCAGATGTCAAATCTACTCATCAGGTTTCAACGAATCATGCCACTATCGTGACTGCAACAACGACCAATTCGCAATGTATGAAAAAAGTCGATGACACTAACATTAATATTACCATTGCCGGTGCATTGGATGATGATATTGGATGTGGTGATTATATTAATGGTTCATTTAGTACGAATAACAAGGGGTTGCCAACTAATGTAAAATCTTTATCAAGCAGTAATCTTAAAAAGTCGAATTTAAAATCAAAATTGTCTGGACGTTTGATCACCACCACTACTACGTCAACAACAACACAATCAACATCATCTGGACGTCATTCAAGGTTAATTCGATGTAATTTAGATGAAGTATCTCATCATTCAGAAGGTTTAAGACGATTCTCTATCAGTAATTCTAATTATAATGATGGAAAATATTCTATGAGATTGACAAACTCTAATGGATCATCACCACATGATAATGACAGTTGTAATTTGTTACATAAATATTCAGTAGTTAACGGTTGTAAACCAGTTCCTGCACCATCACGTCAACGACTTAGTTTAACACCTACATCTTGGCAACAACCGTCTCGTAATCGTAGTGTCAATAATAATAATAGTTTGAATGAAAATCACGATAAATCATCTGTGAATAGTCATCAAGTGTTTACATCATCCTGTGATCAATCAAAACCATCAATAAATAATCGTCTAATCAGTCCTAGTACAACTGGCCCACTCAGTCGACCAGATAAAAATAATACTACTACTAATAATAATACAAATCAACAAATCTTTGTAAATAATTCTCAGTCCATTGATACTCGTTTATACAATCCAAGTCGTGGTCGAATTCTATGGAATAAGAATACTTCAAATAATAGTAGTTATAATAAGTCACGTAGTTTAAGCACTGTTTCTGTGAATGATAATAATAATAATAATACAAACGGTAATAGTAGATCACATGTTAACTGGAATCGTAATGGTTTAACTGAACTTCAAGAGAATAATAAAACCAATCGTCTATCACCATATGATGACAATGTGTTTGAACGACGTCCATCGAACGAAATCAATACTGATGATATTGGTCATGTAATCAGTAGTCGACGTTTTCGTCGAACATGTATTCAAACATTATTACCTCATTCATCGTGTACATCATCACAACAACCATTACCTCCACCTCCTTGTGAATCATCAAGTGATATTGATTCCGATGATAAATATCCAAAATGTTTACAGGTAAATCGTCATGTGAAAAATAATAATAATCATAATAAAGATATATCAAATATTATGAATAATCATTCATCTCCATTTATACAACATTGTAATGATAATGGAATTGAAAATTATCCATATAATCATTATTATCCTAATAATAAAGAGATTATTATTGATTCAGATAAACAAATAAAAAATCATTTATTACATGAAAATCAATCATCTTTTCCTATTACTTCTATGAATAATAAATGTCATTCTAATTCTTCTTCATCTTCATCATCGTCTTCAACATCATCCTATGATATTATTGCATCAAATGGTCTAATTAAATTACATAATCAAATTACAAATGATTCAAATATATTAATAAATAATAATAATAATAGTAATAATAATGATTCTTATACATCACCATTAATTGTATTTGTTCCTAGACCATCAACAAATCCTATATTATGTACAAATAATGCAATTATAGCACGTCAAAGACGTTATCGTACACCATCTGAATTATCATCGAAATTATCATCATCTTTATTACAAACAATAGAATTCAATGAAATCGATAATGAAAATTATCATAATTTAAAAAATTTATCTCTATTAGATAATCATGATAAAATGAAATTGAATGTAATAATGAAATCAACTACTACTACTAATAATAATACTACTAACAATAATAGTAATGGTAGTAATAATAATAATAATAATAATGAGCAATGCTTGTTGAATACATTCAATAAAGAAATACAATCATCCAATTTAATCAATAATGATAATCAATTATGGTCATCTAATTCATCATATCAATTTGAACAACAACAACAACAACAAATCAATTGATGTGATAGGATTGGAATGGATAAATGAAAAGGGATCAAGCATTTATAGAAACAATGATAGATATATACTGAATGTTTTGTACATATTTCCTTATGTTATATATTATTATTATCCCCTTTATGGTGGAGGAAGTATATAGAGGTAGGTTGCTAACTAGGATACTCTATTGAACTTAGTCATGGACAATCTTTCCCAGTTGCTATTCAACTGTTTTTTTTTAAAAAACAAAACAAAACTAAACTAAAACATTCTGTACATAACTATCTGTTTATGCCTTCTTGAATATTATTTTTGTTGTTGTTGTTGTTGCTAAGATCATCTCATCTACATTAATCTGTTTCTCATTTTAATTTATTTATACAATATTCTTCTTATGAAATTTATTTTTCTATGCCTATCTAAGCAATATCAATAAAGATTGATTAGTGCTTCCTTGATTACAGATATATTCACTTATTTATTTAGTTATTAGATTACTGTTGTTTATTTGAGAAAGAAAGAAAGAAAGAAAGAAAGAAAGAGAGAGAGAGAGGGGGGGAACAAGAGAGAAACATTTCCATCGACGATTACCTTTTTTTTGTTCAAATCTCTTGTTTCAAATATATTTACCAGAAGTCTTTCTTTTTAATGTGTATGATTATTTTGTTTTTGTTTTTGTTTTTCTGTATAAAGTTTAAGAAAGTAGGCTGACAACCAACCAACTATACTACTCATTTTATCCTATAGTCGCTTATTTCTTTATGCATAGTTATCTGTCTATATTTACACAGAATAAGAAATAGGTGTAAAATTGCTTCTGTCATATGGTTCATAATTATTCTTTATTGTATTGTAATTGACTTAACATTTTTCAGTGTATAAAGCTTATTGATTATCATCACTTCAATCTATTATTATTATTATTGAGAATTGATGTTAGTTGGAATTCTTTCATAGACTTCAATATAATACTGATTATATTATACAACTGATGATGATGATGATGATGATGATGATGATATACGCACAAATAGGTTTTGTATATGCATATTCATTTCGGTATATTGATCTATTGTTGAAAATATGGATCATAAGTATAGATTCATTTCTCCTATGTGTACACTGTATTTTTTTTTTACTATAAACAAGTCTATGAATTAACTATTTTGTTGAATAGAGAATTCATTTAATCTTATATGGTTGATTTGTTTATTTTAGTCTTTCTTAATTCGTATGATCATTCATTAAACTGTACGTATGTACGTCTAATTAAAGAACATTTGTATTCTTCATTGAAAAATAGTAATTCATTAGAAGAGTTCTGTGTTTCTCTTCCTGTATAGAATTAAACATACCTCTAACTAACCACCATTTTTTTGTTTCTTGATCTTGGAAAGAAAACATTTAGACTAGATAATACCATGGCTTAGTTAATGCTTCTACTCCATTTCTATGATGATTTTTTGTCTTTTATTTTTTTTCTCCCAGAGCTGAGAAACAAATACTTTCGATTTAGTACCTTTATAGTATATTTAGAAAAAGAGAAGTATTTATTCCATGAGTGCCAAAAAGAAAGTGATTGTTTATGAAAATCTTATTCAATCTGTAACTATTCTCCCAAGTTTATTTGTATACTTAAATAGTTCTATCATAATCAATTTATTGTCTGTTATTGATGTTAAATTTTTGTACAAGTTAAACATCTTATTTTCGGAGAGAAAGAAAAAACTATGATATGACCTCTGTCTATTTCATTTCGTCTTAGATACTCTTAATGTTAATATTTATGACAATGATTTTGAGTACTGTTCGTGATGAGGCAATTTAGATCGATGCATATATGTGCCTGGTGTTATATTGTAACTGATTGACTTTCATTGTGCATCTTTCATAGAATTACATAAATAAATAGATTGATCTATTGTACTTCTTTTCTTTCTTTTGTAGTTGTTCTTTATCTTGTTCATTTTAATCTTTATCTCTAAGTAGAAGAATAATTATTTTTTTAAGTCTGCCTCCATGAAAAAATAAAAAAAAGGAAAAAGAAAGATACATTTGTTTACTGTTTATGTAATTGATTCAATCACTGATGGTGATGATGATGATGAGGATGGTAACAATCTGTTTTTTTATCTTTACTTGTTGTCTATTGTTGTTATGGTGTTTTATTGTTGAATGTACAAAAAAAAATAATAAGGATGTGATTAGTTTAGTTGCTTATAATAGTGTTAATAATAATGATAATGATAACTATGATTCTCACTCTTACTATGACAAAACTAACACAAATTACCTCCCCAAGATTTATGTCGGTTAGAGATATACTAGTAAACAAAGAGTTAACGTCCAGCGAGAACACGTGTTTTTCGGAAGTATTAACATCCTTATTGGTCGTATTAAAGATTCGTTTATTAAATCAATACATGAAAATAAACATTATACTGTTTACAATGGACTGATTCATTTCATCTTCTGTATTTATAAGTGTTGTGACTTTAGGGTCGGCTAATTATCATGTGATTTATTCGCCAATCGAAATATGACTTATTCAATCTTAGTACTGTGCCAAACCAGTGATGTTCGACCAGTATGTGCAGCCTAGCGTTCTTTTGTTCACTTAGCCTGTTCGATCGAGTCCAGAAACGCGAGTAACAGCTTCCAGTATGCGAATCATTTATTTCAAACATACTTGGTTTATATATCAGCCAAACAGACCATATTACACTATAAAATAGGAAATAACATTTATACATGATCAAGCCAAAAAAAGTAGCTATGAACTTGGGAGACAGTAATCAATAAACTGCACATAAGAACATTAAATCGTATAATTGTAATCTCTAAGTCAAAATGAAGCTTATAATACAAGGAATATAGATATACATAATCTAGTTACTGAATAGTTATGCGATAGGTATATATATGTATGTAATATTAATCCATTAACAGTTCTCAGAAGTTGCCCGTAACTTAATCTTTACTAGGATGTGACAATAAGTGTAATCTTTGACGGAATTGATACTCCCTGTGATATTTGAACTTCGACTTTCTATAGGATCGGGATGTTTACGACAGATCAATCAGTGTTGACTGATTGCATGTTTGTTTAGTTCTTTAGAACGGATCAGATCTTATCGGCCTAGTGTTAATATAGCCACTATTTTAAGTTCTTTATTATCAAATACATTATATGTTGAGTTATCAGATGGTTAGTAGATGTTAATTGGAAATCTTTGACTTAGGTTTCGTTCTAGTTGGCATTTCCAAACAACTGACGTGTCTACATAGCGTACGTAATATGAAGTCACTTGAAATAATCGTCATATTGGAAGTTTGTCGATAGGATTAGTTCAGTACTAAATGGTTAAACAAACAGTGACCGATCATATGTATGAGGTATGCTTTGTTGATACGATTTGTTTTTCCTCTCGTAAAGTGCATATGGCTTAATGAATATGGTCTTTATTTTGAGGTAATGGAAATTTTTCTATTAAAAGAAAGTTCGTTTTAATGAGACATATAAATATCTGTACTTTGAAGTTGAGCTCTTGTGGATAATTCCCGTTTTTTGTTCAACTGACTCTTATGTTTTAAAATGGGATCAACTGTTTTCTAATTGATCAATATTGTTGGGTTTTTAATTCAGTATAAGCTGTCTATTTATATTGTCCAAGTGATATGAAATATAACGTCTGGACAATATTCAAGTATTATAAGCAAAGATGGATAGTGGCTAACAGTGGAATCCAGGACGGGTGCCACTTCGTCCTGTTTGGAACCTGTCAGCTGGATTTGCCTGCATCTCAGAGTTGATGACAATCTGGGACTCGAACCCAATGCGCAAGCAAGTGACTGTCAGCACTCAGTAGTTAAGTGGATAACGCGATGGCGTTTTAGGCTAATGGTATTGGGATCGAGTCACAGAGTGAGCATCAACTCTGCGATGCAAGTACATCCAGCTGATAAGTCCAAAATAGGACGAAGTGGCATGCGTCCTGGACCCCACTTCTAGCCACTATCCATCTTTGCTTATAATGCTTGTGAATATCGAGGCAATCTGCACAGTACGCACATATGCCAATAAGGTCAATTTGAAGATTCAAGCAAAACAACATCAAGAGAATTTAATATTCAAGTATATTTTCTGTATTATGCCTTTGAATTTGTGAATAACTGTCCAAATTATAGTATGATGTTTTAACATAGAGTTTATGTTTCTTTTGTACAGTTTTGTCCAGCATCTTAGATGTAATGTATGCAAATAATAAAAAATATCCATGTGTTCAATTCATAAGTGATTTTCCATTACAGAATACTGGATAAGCATATTCTAGTTTGGAAGTTCCTAACTCAACTTCTCTTTTATTAATCTGCTTTTAGATTTTGTCACCACCACAATAGTTTAAATCAATTATATTGGAATTCAACGGTCTATATCTTCAACTGTATTTAATTTATAATCTAGCTACCTGGTTATCTTATGTATAGTCAGTAATACTTTCATTCATAGCGTGACACCTCGTTAGAATTTCAGAAATCTGATCTTAAAATCTTATTAATAGTCGATACAT